CTGCCGAATCTGAATCCTCGAATCTGAATCGTTTGGGTTCTCTTTTTTTTTTCCCAATTTGTTTTCTACGTACGAAGCTAATGGCTAATTTCTATTAAACCCTAAACCCTCTCTGAAGATCTTCGTCTCTTCATCGCTGGTTAACTTTTACCCCCTTTCTCGGGTCTAATTTCAGAATCGAACAAGCAATCTCGTATTTCATCACCTGGGTTCATGATTTGGTGATAGAACCTGAGACTCATTGACTCGTTGTCCTGTTTTTGCTTGCTTCTACTGTATCAGGAGTTGAAACAGTACGAGCAGATCCTGTTTCGAGCAAACTGACTCTGATTGGATTTATGGATCCAGTGAAGATTACAGAGAGATTGCAGAAGAAGAGCAAGAAGAAGATTGAGCTGCTATCTCCAAAACCAAAGAAAGAAGCAAAAGTGAACAATGACACTAAGGCTGAAAATCAAAACCAGACTATGGTAGGCTTGAAATACGTTCACTGCATACGTTCATGATTGTAAACTGTGTCACTCAGAAACCAATTATATCACGATCAGTCGGCGTAGTATCAAGAGGTAGATTTTGCTCAGGGTTACTTGCGGCTCAAGTAACGAACATCCTGTGAGATTACTTTTGCCATTCATCACTAGAAATTGCACTGTAGCCATGATCTTCTAGGTGTTGCTTGATAATGATAGACTATAGTATAAGTAGAGAGAAAAGGAAACAGTTAATGATCTCTGACTTGCTTTGTCGCTATTGGAGATAAGAAAGACTTATGATGGATCTGTTATGGTGGTGTTAGGTTGCGGTGAGCACAGTGATACTGAAGCTGAGCTGCTCATGTGATGGTTGCACCAAGAGGATTCACAAGACTATCTCTAAGACCAAAGGTCAGACTTTTCATTTCCCCAAAAACAATACACGACTCAATGGCCTCCTTCTGCTTTCACAATTGAGTAAAATATCATGTGTGTCAACAAACAGGAGTGTATCAACTGAAAATGGACAAGGAGAAGGAATTGGTAACAGTCACAGGGACAATGGACGTCAAGTCTGTAACAGAGAATCTGAAAAGAAGGCTGAAGAAAAGCGTCCTGGTCGTACCTGAGAAGAAGAAGAACAACACAGAGGGAATCACAAAAGTCGGGTCTCCGGGTCTACCCGGTTATGGGCTTGGACACTACGGTTTCATGGATGGCCGTTTTGGTGAGTTTTTCAGTGAGGAAGATGAAAACTTTTGCAGCGTTATGTGATTTTGGAGGCGACAAAAACATCTATCACATATAGGAAGGAGGCGTAAATAACTTAAATAGGGAAGCAC